CAAAAATTGAGTTTATATTATATTTGGGTAGATCACATTATAAGCTTTCATTTGGACTTTGAATGGCTTCCCTACTAATACTATAAGTAAATTTAGAGATGTGAGCATTTAAAGTTTAGGTGTATAAGAACCACGTTTTGAGAAAATCGGCCTCAAAGAAAAACTAACCTGTACCAATAATATGACTGAATTACAGAATATGTACGGAGAACACTGTTTTGGCAAGAAAATTCACTTTCAAAGTATACAATCATAAAATATATGTATCAAGTTATTCAAAAACATTAAAATAAAAATTTTGTAAAAATGTTGACTTTTGCCTGTTTTGGTGAATATCTCAATATGATTTCACCAATGATGCGTCTCATTTCGTGGTGAGACCTCACATTTGTTATTTTATATAGCCATATAGCCAGCACGGCTGGCCATGCCAATAACTCCAAAACGGTTATTTGCACGGCAGGCCGTCTGAATAACTCCAGAACGATTAATTGCACGACGGCTGGCCATGCTAATAACTCCAAAACGGATATTTGCACGGCCAGCATTGCCATAAACTCTAAAACTGTTATTGGCATGGTGGGCCGTGCGAACAACTCCAAATACTGTTTATATTTTTATTTGAACAGTCATTGTTTTTTTTGCTTCCTAGCCAAGCCCACTCCTTTTGCACAGACTGAATTTTAGATTTTGAATTAGCCTTTTCACAAGTAGTCTCAGCTATTGTTTAGTTTTCAACCAATCAGCAGCAAGAATCACTCACCCAAAACATATAGGTATTTTCCTTTTTTTTTAAATTTCTGCAGATATTATTCTCCTAAAGACAATCAAAGCAGCTCAATCGAAAAGTCAAGATATTCTCAACCAACAACAAACACTCCTTTTCAGATCGCAACGTAATTTAATATGAATTAAGAAATGACAATCTTTTGAATGTTAAATTCATATAGCTAGTCCTCCAATAATACATAGTTATGAACTAACATTCATTCTTGTTTAGTGTATGATATCATAACCAATAAGTTAATATTTAGCGTATGACAACCTTTAGAATATTAAATTCATATAACTAGTCCTCCAATAATACATAGTTATGAACTAACATTCATTCTTGTTTAGTGTATGATATCATAATCAATAATCTAACAATATGACCAAACCAAAGTTAAGTACTAGTTATACACGAAAACAAATAGGCCTACTCAATTAGCTAACGTCATGATATAACCTACATCAGAATTATGATATCCATTAGCAGTAATTAATTCATATTAAAAAATGGTCATATCCGGCTAACACTCGTCATACTGGATACAAATGCGACCTATGACATTCATGTTCATACATACATTCTGTTGAGTACTTAGTAACATTCACATGATCGGTTCCAAAAACAGTAGGCACACATCTATTCTTGCATAGAGCCCAGACTTGAATTACTACTTCAACAGTCAACGGTGGACTATTGATATAAATTAATAATAAACATAGAATAATACTGATAACAATAATCACAAAAATCACACCGTCATCATCGCATGCCCATCCATAACACTTCGACCATAGCAAGTTTACGCAAAACCAGCATCAATACATATACTATGGTATAAACACGATGCAATAATCTTTACATAAATGCTGTGGTCAATCGAGTTACATATAATGGTAAGCATAAATATTAGCATGACAAAATATTTTCATTACTATGTTTTAAATAGCCATCTATACCATTGTATATCTTCATTAACTATTTTGTTTAAATCCAGTATATCAAATGACAAATGAATTTATATTTGTCAGTAGGCAAACAATTTATATCTGCTTTCTGACCACACATAAACAATTTTTTTATTGTTTATTTGTCTCCTTTCACAATTGATTATTAACCCATCAATTTAATTATTCATTTATTTATTCCATCTAATTTTTTACACACTTTTGATAGCCCATTTTTGTCTAGCTATTTGTATTGCTTTATTTTATTTTCATTTCCGCCTTTCTCCTCGCTTTTTACACTAGCCTGATTATTCTGACGAAATTTGGCCTTCACTGCTGGCCGTACAAGCAACTCTTAAACCGTTTTAGAGTTGTCAGTACGGCAGACTTTGCGAATAACCGTTCTTGAGTTATTCCAACGAACAGCCACCGTGCGAATAACCGTTTTGGAATAATTTACACGGCTTGCTGTGCGAATAACTGTTTTGGAGTTATTCGCACAGCGTGCCATGCGAATAACCACTTCCATGAAACTAATTCCCACCTTCAAGTAGGCCTAGCTTAGCGGTGATATGCTCAGAATGTTTCCAATCTTAACACAAAAACATAGAAAGTACCCATTCCCAAGAATAATTTAACTTTATTAACAATTTTTTAAGATATAATTTAATAAGACTCTGTACCCCAAGTGTTTAAATAAACCTAGGCTAGGTATAGTCTGAACCCCTCTAGGCAGCGATATGAGTGATGTGTCATCATTTAGCTTACCAAAACTTGTTGAGATAGAGGAGTCATTGCGTAGGCTTAGCTAGCCTGTACGCAAGGTGCATGCATAATGGTCACAAATTCACGATAGGCCAATATACGTAAATTGAGAAAAACAAATTTTTTTATTAAATGTAGCATAGCTCTGTTCAATCAATTTTTGTCAAACTGTAGATTACTCACATCAATGTATTCTTTCCATTGAATTAGTGTGAAACTATATTCAAAGTCAGTTGAAGGATATAATGTTTTGTGTGCTCCTAGCTAGCCTAGGCCTGATAGTAATAATGTTTATGTTGATTTGACCTGAGGTCAACATCTGTAAGTTCTGTTCATGTGACCGGTTTGCAATTTTTTTCCCGAATGATACATTTACATGAAACTCCACTCAGGCCGTCTCGACTGATCAAATAAAAAATCTCATTTTGCAGAATTCATGAGGTCAAAAGGTCATCAACCAAATATAGAACGTCTTCAAAACTTCTGAGAAACCTCGATGTCTGATTTTACAAAATACATTGATGCTACCATGCTTAGTAATAATTAATGGAATTATGGATTAATTAATTAATGAATCTGATGAAATGGTCATCAACTTGGTTATTAGAATTTAACTCTCAGAAATAATAATAATAATAACTTCATTTAATAAAGCGCAAAACAATATCCATTAAAAATGTTCACCGGTGCTGTACAGAATTTTAAAATACATAGGCCTATATACACTTTAAACATATACATACATAAGAAATAAACATTAAAAGCTACCGTAACAGAAATGATTGAAACCAATAATCATCACTACCATTAGGAAGGAGAAATCAGGGGTGATCCAGAGATGTCCAAAAGCCCCCCCCCCCTCCAAATCCGCCCTTGGAAATGTAGCTGTTCATCAGTACAATTATTCTCTTGATCCTATAGTGACAAGTATTTAGAGAATGCCCTTTCTGAGAAAGATTTCTAAATTGTCATTTGAAATTCATCCTTGAGAAAGTTAATAAAGAAAATAGATTAATGGGACTCAAAGATGTGTATTTACCTACATGGAGTTTACCTACATATGTTTTTTTTTTTATTACTATAAGGCTTTTGTTAGACCCCATGGCGAGAGTATAGTGTCTCAGTCTGGTGCTCGCATTTATAGAAACACATCGACCTGATGTGAATGTGCAACGTAGAGATACTACTATAGCCTTGTTCCTAGGTTGAAGGGTTTAAGTTACTCTGATAGGCTCCATACATTAAATACCTACAGAGGCTATAGAGGCGATATGATTGAGACATTTAAAATTGTAAATAATTACTATGATAGTTCTATCTCTAGTTTTGTACAATTGAATGTATCAGACAGAACACCTGGACACTCTTTTAAGCTGCTAAAGCAACATTCGCGTGTGGACAGAAGGGTTTTCTTTGGCAATCGCATTGTAGACAACTGGAATGCATTTTCAAATGAAGTTGTATTAGTCCCTATATTTATGCATTCACGAAATGCATTAAACTAGATAAATTCTGGAAGGATCAGCCAGTTAGGTTTGACCATAAAACAAGCATCGAGAATTCCAGGCTCAACAAATTTGGATCTGGACATAGAGCACTTTAGTCCTGCGTCCAGTATCACCTAAGTTAACCTAAGTAAGAGAGAATTAAAGGAAACAAACTCATAATTTTGAAGATAGATATGAACAAGGTGATAAAGTATATTATAATATAAACGACCCAATGGTACGGAATGAAAGGGTCCAGGGACTGTTAGTTATTGGTAAGGATAGTTCTATTGTGTATAAGACAAAGTCAAAGTACATAAATGTAGACTACAGAAAGCAAATCAAAGTAAAATAGTTGATGAAATAATAATAATTTTGATTCAAATGTACAGGTGAAAAGTAAAGAAAATAAACCAACAAATAGTGTACATGATAACAGTTATGATTCAATTGAGCATAAAAAAATGATGGAGAAAATCTGTACACTAAATCTTGTAATGAGGCAAATAATATAAACATTAATGGTTGTAACGAAAATAAAAATACTTGTGCTAGGCAATCATCCATAATCTCTAAACCACCTAATTGGCTTAATGGATATATTAATGATGATTATGAGGAAACAGTGATGCATACAGGAAGTATTAATGTTGATGAAGCTAAACTGAAAGAATTAGAAAGTTGGGAGAACAATAATGTATATGGAGGTAGATAACCATGGTCAGAAATGCATATCTACCAGGTGGCAGTATTAGCTCAAAATAGTTGGAAATTGATAAAAACGGCATTCCTACAAGCTGGAGTATCTTCTACAAAAATTTGGAAGCTAAGCAAGTGTGTTTATGGTCAAAAAAGGTAACAATCTGGTGAAGGACTTGCGCATGAGACTTCAATTGCGCATGCTTACTGTTAAACGCTTCACTTCATACAAATAAAACACAATAAAAACTACATAATCTAGATGATTGGTAAAAATGTTTAATAAGGGTTTTTGTGCAGATTACCAGAATGCCAGAAACTTCAATCAACACTGTAAACATCTTTATTTTTCCAAGAGACCCATTTTCTCCTTTGAGGAGCTTTAAATTTTAAACAGTGCATTTTTAATAATTTCAACTCGAAAATATTGGTGCAGTAAATTCTGTGTACAGTATTAATGAAAGAATTACAAAATATCAATTGTGGCAAAGACAAGCCAAACCAGTCACTTGTCGCAAAAAGCAATTTTTTGTTATTAATACAGGATTAATGGTGAAAATAATAGATATAAAATGGTAAATGAACCCTTTAAATCTGCATTTCCTGAAGTTACAAGTGTTTAAACACTGAACATTATTAAAAATCAGCCATCAAAGGTTATGATTTCAGCCATTTCTCAGGCAGAAACCATCAACAAATTGTTAAAAATTGTTGTTTTAATATTGAAAATGAGCAAAATAACAGTATATTATGATTTATAGATATATAAAAATTAGCTTAGTGCAATAAAATAGAAAAATTCTGACATTTCAGCGTATTTTGGCTAATATCTCGAAACATGATTTGCGACGAATGACTGGTTTGGCTTGTCTTTGCCACAGTTTGAATTTTCTTAGATATTTAATAATATATTAAATTCATGGTTTATTGCAGGTAACGCTACTGTTGGTAAAAGTGCACTTACCCAAGTATTTCATAGTGATGGAAGCCACTTTCCTAAAAGTTATGCAATGGTAAATATTTAATTAATTTATTGAAAATATATAATTCAAATCACATTGATTGTAGATTTCATGAGTGATTTTTTGCTTTTCTTAAAGTAATAACTTTCCTTCATACTAAAAAATCAGTTGTTACAAGTATTTTAATGCACAGTTTTTGGTTAACTCAGTTGTTTTTGAAGTAGCAATAGTTGAAATTTAGAATAAAAGGTTTCTTGTTTTATTCACTTTTTGTTTTATTCTTGTTTTTAATTTAACTCAATTAAAGAACATTTAATGTGAAGATATCATCAATCTTGTGGGGTGTAGTTGTTTAGCTTAGTGGTTAAGATGCCTGCCTTCTAGTCCCAGGGTCAATTCCTGTGCCAGCAAGACTCTATCTCACAGCTAAACACAACTGCACTCTCCAAGACTCATATACAGACTTGATTTAAAAAGAGCATCGTCCATCCTGTATTTGACAAGTTACTCGATGTTCAATGCAAATAAAATTTAAAATAATTATACACTTACCGTTGAAATTTCAGAAGATGTTTTTACCAGGGAACTCGATAGTTAGGCCCAAAAAAATATATATATGTTGTGTTGCCCTCCGCGACCAACCTAAATTGTGTAGATAATTTTTTTTTTTGTTCAAAAGTCTTCCTTTATCTCAAGTACAAATTTGAGGAATACCACTTCCCAAGTTAACATTTAGAACTTAAAATCTAAAACAGACATGTATTTTTACGAAAATCAGGCCATAGTAGCATGTGTAAAATCGGTAAAATAGAAGCCATAATTTTGAGAACCGAGTGCGACGACGACAATGTTTGCACGCAACATCGGATCTCTCGCGCTGAGCTGTCAAGCAACGGCCAGATCTAGGCCTACCCTATTTTTTAGTACTGTACAATAAGTGGTTGCTTAAATCAAAAATCATATTCATTACTTTACGGTATATTGGACAGTAAATAAAAACAGGCTTAGGTTTAGCCATCGCTTTAAATTTTAGGCTCTGTTACGGTTTTAGATGGGCCAACCATGAACAAAATTTTTTTTAATTTTCTGCGAAGTTGACTTTAATTGTACTACATAGGGGGCTCTTGTTTGGACATTTCTCGTAGCCATAGCGTGGTTTTGTTTGACCTGCCCGTGTGTGATCGTGTGGATCAGATACACAAACTATTTTACGTTTCGAAGTCAAATAAATCATTCTTGAAACTGATTTATTTTTGTTAAATTTATTTCAATATACACTTGGTTAGTATTTATTCCGTCATTACTTTGTGAATATTTTTGTGTTTTGCAAGCTTACCATTGTTCTATTGTGGTGCCTACGAGGCCTTGGGCCTAGGGTGTTCATAATAGGGCGTGCAGTTTGAGGCCTATCCTATTTAAGGTATTACTAAAAATACTAAACAAACAAAAAATTTGACGATCTCAATTTTTTCCATTTAAGAGCAACACAACAATTTTTTTTTTGGCCTTATGTTTTACCCACACTTTTGTACTGAATACTGTCCGCAAATAATTGTTATAAAAATTGCAAATGATTCAGCTGGAAATTATTTGATCTCTTATCCTCTAAATAATTAATCTAACATTAATCGTTATATATCACTAAGTTTGTGCTAGTGGCTACTGCTTCCACTATACTCACCAGCAGCTGTAAATCTGTAATTGAATGTATGGTATTGTTGTTTAATAAAATGTATTTACCCGTAGACGATTGGTGTTGAATTGTGTGTCAAGACTGTTCACATTCCAGAAACAAATGATGCAGTGGTAAGTACAACATCAATGTCTTGTAGACCTGTTCCACAACCTGTTACTGGTGACCAAATAAATTTTGTCTAGTTGCACAGTGGCTTAATATTTCAGAAGTAGTTTCAAAATCAATTGGTTTAAAGGAAAGTTTAGCAATTTTATTTAGTTTTAGAGCTGATTCAGTTACATAACTATAATATCCCATTTTTTAAATTATGAATCTTGTGCATGATGTAGACTCTCTCAACTAGAAATTTGTGATAGCGCCACAAGTGCATCACTCGATCCATCCATGGTTTAGCAACATTAAATGGCGCAGTCAATCTTTCAGTGAATGGAAATATTCTTTCCATTGAGCGAATTAGAAACATTATTTGTTTTATAAGGCATCGAACATAGATCCCTATCATTTGATATTTTATGAAAAAAATAGAATTGTATTGTATTAGGTTGAGGCATGCAATGCACAAAATGAATGGAACCAAAAATGGATGAAATACATTTTCATGAGTGAAAAATAGTGTTAATAAGCAATATGTCACATTATACGAAATTCACCATTCAAATGACACAGATCTGTTTAGGTGTGTTATAATATCGAATGGCTCATGTAGACAAAGAATAAGAGAAAGTGAGCAAGACATTGAATGTCAAAGATAGAAGGAGTGAACATAGTGCCTGCAGATAGCCAGCTGTACAACATTAAGTAGTTCTTTATCAAGTGGTACTACCTTTAGTTTTCCTAGCCCATCTTGTGGCCAAATGTGCAGATCAAAAATAAGTCTCTTTAGTGTTGAATCAACAACGAGGACGACAATGCCGACGATGTTGACAACAACAACAGGTTTTATACCGCACCTTTTGACAATGGATACAAGGCGCTGGCAATGTTATTATTATTACATCTGGTCATTGGATCCATATAGCAATCCGGTACTAAGTGCAACCTCCCCCACTCCCTGAATATTTTGTTTATTTATTTGAACATATAATCGGTGGCACTCAATATCAATTGGTGCGTTCGTACAAAAAAAAAAAAATGATGGAGTAAAAAACAATAAGGAAACCAACTCAACATCAATGAAACTTGAACTGGGGCTGCAATGGTAACAGCTAGGTTGAAATGGGTTTTAATCCATGAGTCATAGAACCAGACCCTGTGGAGGAGGAGTTGTTTATTTGGTAACTTATGTTGCATCAAAATAGTAAATACCAAGATAAGTGTGGAAGTTGTTTGGCAGGTCAGCTGGAGCATAGTAGTTTTTGACATTGATTATCAAGACAGCTTGCCTGCTTATACATTCACTGTACTGATTATAATAACAATAATAATAATAAATTGGAGAATTTGTATAATGCCTGTTAAAAAAATAATTTTTTGTCACTGGCGCTTAAAGATAAAAGAGTTATTGATTAAAGAGATAGGTTTGAAGGAGGGTCTTGAATGCATTAGTATCAGAAGTTGATCTAAGAATAGGTGGAAGAGAGTTCCATAATTTCGGAGCGGCAAAAGAGAAAGACAGTTTGCCAGTACAAGCATGCAGCACTCTGGGGACAGATAACCTGAGAGAATTTGACTGTCTTGTGGAACGTGAAGATAATTGTTGTGAGATTGATGAAGAAAGATAGTGTGGGGCGTGGCCATATATGCATTTATGAGTGAGAAGAATAATTTTGAAGTTTAGGCGTTTACATATCGGTAGCCAATGAAGGTCTTTGAGGATAGGTGAAACATGATCACGAAGTTTAGTGAGACAGACATGATCATTAACATGATCGTCAAAGGAGATGTACAGTAGTTATCAAGTTTCAAATCTAGATAATTTTTTTGAATCCTGACACTGAATAGTTTGTCCATTGTAACTTATTTTAAAGTCTAGAATTGTAACTTTTAGATCCAAAAATGAAGCATTCCATTTTTTGAGAATGCATGGACAACTTATTTTTGACAAACCATTCATTGCATGATTCCATAACATTACTTAGTTTAAATTGGATAAATATACATAACAATACATTAATACTGTATTTTCTTATATAGGAATTATTTCTGTACGATTCAGCAGGGAAAGAAACGTTTTCTGATTATGTCCATCAGTTTGTAAGTATACATCATCAATTCATACCAATTAAAATATTATCAACAACAATCGATAAAATTAATTTTCAGTACAATTTAACACTGATACTTTGCCACCTAATGCACTAAAAACCTATCAGTGTTGATCAATGGTTATCAATATTTATTGATATACTGTATGTCATTGCCATCAATACAGTGATATGAGTGCCCAGCATAATACTGTACCTGTTCATAATTAATACTTTGCTTTTCTTCAATATTGTATACAACTGTATTAATGCCTGCAAGAGCGCACAGACTTCCGAAAATACATAAGGACTTTGATAATATTCCCCCGTTACGACCAATTATTGACACTACAGGTACAGGTTAGTACCCATTTGCGAAATTCCTTTGATAATATTCCCCCGTTACGACCAATTATTGACACTACAAGTACAGGTTATTACCCAGTTGCGAAATTCCTAGCTAATGTTTTACGTCTATTAACTGATAACACCTACGTTTTAAAAGATTCGTTTGACGCTGCTCATCGTATCAAGGAGATACCCTCTCACCTTTATCATGCCGGTTATCGTTTTGCATCATTTGATGTAGAATAAGTTTTTACTAATGTTCCATTAAATAAAGGTAATTAATATTGTGCTGGACAGAGTATATAATCAAAAACTGATAACCACCAATCTTAAGAAAACCACTCTACGTAAATTACTTAAGGATACATGCACCAAAACGATATTTTCATGTAATAATGAGTATTATAAAAAATGTGATGGAGTATCAATGGGTTCTCCTCTTGGTCCTGTACTATAATATTATTATGACCGATTTAGAACAGACCATTATTCCTAATTTTGAACAATTGGGAATTATTATTATTACAGTATTATTAAAAAAAGTTTTATACACGGTTTGTTGATGATACTTTAGTTCTTGCTAAGCCCTCTGATCCCTTAATTCGTTTCATTCACAACTTTAGTTCACTTTTGAATCATTTGAAAATAGTGATTCAATATGGTACACACAATATTGGGATTTACCGTAAGAGTACGTACACGGGCCAGTGTGTTCATTTCAATAGCTTTACCCCTGGAACCACAAAATATCATGAATACGCAGTTTGTACACACGGGCTCACAAAATATGTACTCCCGGTGATTCATTACAAAATGAACTCAAACAAATCAAACAATTTATGTCTTGGAATGGCTACCCATTAAGAGTTATAAATCGACTATTTGGTAAATTATCTTATAGGCTTGGTAATAATGTACAGAATGTTAATGATGATGACTTGGTTGAAATTTGGGTACATTTGCCATATGGTTTTGCTTTGGAATTTTTCATTTATAATGATAATAACAATTATCCTCATTAATTCATACGCAATTCAGCCTTAGTCACTGCTATGTATGTTTTTGATGTTGAAATTTTTAAATAAATATACTCAAATAACAAAATAGGGAATTTTTTATGACGTCATCGCCTTGATTTTACGTTTGTAAAATCGGGAATTCGTTAAATTGGGGTTGGTAATTGAGGGTTTCTACTAAATTATGTTTTGCTGTGCATGGTTATACCCATTAGCTTGGACTTCCAGCAGACAATTGATAATACAGTAGTAAAAACATCCTAATGTCAAGAATTATGTAGAAGATTGTTTGTATGAAGTGGGATATATATATAGCTCATATACCGATTTCTATGCGCTGAGAGAACCGAAAAGATAAAAAGGGATAAACTAAACAGTGGATCAATCTAAACTAAACTTGGAACCAAGAACCAAAACACAGACACGATTGTTTATTTTCCATGAGGTTCTTGCTATTTCATAATCAGTAAGTCTAATTATATATTTTCCAGTGGGATCAGCCATCAGTGACAATGGTAGTCTTTGATGTCACCAATCCAGACTCATTTAAAAGTTGTAACAAGTGGATTGAGCGTGTGCGTGCTGCTGCCGGTCAGGATATTCCAGGTAAAGTATTTGCATCTATCCAGGTGTAACTAGATTTAGTTAGGCTTCCCCAACGATTGGGATATAGCCCCCTTCTCTGTTACTGAAAGTAAGTGGTGGTGCTGTCGGTGGTATTTCGAATTCCTGGATCTGCCACTGTTAATATGGATGTCAACATTTTAGTAAGCATTGAATTGCTAATTTTAAAGAATAAAAATATAGCATATATAGATAAAAAGTAAAATAAATATCAACTTCAAGAGAGGCATTGATAAAAGAAATTAATTTTTTTCTAATTAAATTTTGACTACAAAAATCTTACATAATTACATGTCAATTTTAACCCTTTGAGGTTCGACTGGTAATCAACCCAGGTCACTAGGGGCCAACTGTCTGAAAGGGTGTGGCGGGGGTCTGACAAACTCCAGCAGGAGCTCTGAGGAATTTTGAGCCAAGCTTCTCTGACACAATCTACAATGTAATAATAAAGAAAAAGAGAGCAGCTTAGCTCAGTCAGTTAATCTGGTGGTAGCACTGAAACGTGGAGATCTTTACATCCACGGTTCAATTCCCATCCCTGCCTGTCCTTGTGTTTCAGCTGGAGGGCTGAAATACAAGTTACAAATAGCGCACCTTCTTTCGGATGAGACGTTTAAGATGTTGGTCCTGTGTGCATTTATGGCCCATGTGCACGTTAAATGCAGTAAACTCTTTGGAAAAGAGTAGGGGATTGTCTTCCCGTGTACTGTCAATCACCACCAGAAGGACCCCACTAGACTGTCATTGGCTATCCTTGGTGTTTACACCGAATAAATCCAATCCAAACAATTGGGCTATTTTTTTTTTTAAAACCTTGTCAAAATAATAAGGAAATGTCAATTTTATTTTTTATTCATTCCCCTAAAATATTTTAACTAACAAATATATCCTGAGTTTTTGTAAAAGCATGATCACATCGATAGATATTATAGCAGGCATATTTTATAATTAGTACAGTATTTAATATATTTTCACAAAACAACCAAGACTTGGCCCATTTTGTGTTTATATTCTATTTCCTTTCACTTGTAGCTGTTCTCGTTGGAAACAAAATTGATTTGGAAGGAAGGCGAAATCTGGGTTCCAACACAGCAGAAGAATATGCTAACCAGAAAGGCATCAGATATTTTGAATGTTCTGCTGTAAGTCATAAGCATTATCAGTTAAAAATTAGATTTACATATTTGAAAGAAATTTTAGACCTACAAGTCTACAAGAGACTATGAAAATATCAAATATAAATATTGATAAAACTAATTGGACCTATAGGCTTACTGCAAAAGTAATAGTACTACGTGCTAACCAGAGCCTTCTACAGAGAGGCTGGGGCGTAGTTTCACCCAAGGATGAATATGGTGATGTTTACGGTAGAAAGGTCACCAACTAATGAGATAAACTGTATTGATGATGAAAGTGCTCATACATATTGGTTCACGTGTGTAGTAATGGAAAATTCTTTAGTGTTTGTTTAAAAGAATCCTTATTTCTCACAGGAATTTTAATTCATTTACTTCTAAGACTCTGTCCAGAGTACAAAAAAATGACTTATGTAATGTGTTCTTATATTATGAGCATGATGAAAATTTGATAGTGTGTACTGTATACAGCTTTAACATTGAGCATGACAACATATTAGTTTTTCACTGCTACAATGTAATGAAGGATTACGAATGTTTTTAACTCTTACAGAAGGAGCAAGAGAATGTGGATGCACCATTTTACTATCTCGCAAATGAATTTTACCGTCTGTACCAAAGCAAAATTGAGATAATGAAGACACTATCAGAATAATAACAAACCCATACAAGATGAAGCTAAATGGGGAAAACTGTGTGTTGTACAGCAATATTGTCAAGTTTGAAGGGAACATAGTTTGAAAATAAAACTTGAATAAGCAATTATTTTCTGGAGAATAAAAATGAGAGAAGGCAGGGAAGAAAGGAAAGAAGGCAATAATGGCTCTTCTATTTCTTCGTCAGTGCCTGAAATAGCACCTTGAGCATTTCTTCAAAGTTGATATTAGCGCTATACAAATCTTATTTATTAAATGTAACATGACAATATCGCCTTGTAAGTCATCACCTTGTTATCTCAATGGCATATGTATTTTTAACGAACTTGCTTTTGTAGTGATCATAGGTTGCTACCTTATATTACTGTTGCTACGTGGGTAGACAGTTGAAATATTGTTGTATAATAGCATTCTAGTAGACATTCTCCAAAGTGATATAGATGTATGGAGTGTTCCTTATTAGGCAAGACTTTTTTATACTTTGATTATCAAACTTATTTTTATGAAGATCATCGGAGAAGGGTGGAAACAAATAGAATCAAATTTTGTTTGCTTAATAGCAAAATTCTAAAAGCATCTAAGGCCAAGCAAAGAGTATAAATAGAACAAGAGAGCAAGTCCCATTCGTAAAAACGTCACTCCTGTGTAGGACGCCCACTAACGGTTGTATATTCTTTTTATTACCCAGTGCAGCGCTGCGCAGCGCGGTAGAAGTACGCCCGCTATAAACTCAGTAAGCAGAAAACAAAAAGTACAGTATCTTGTGGAGAACAGATAAACAGACAAACCGACCGTGCGCGGTGGAGTACTGGGTAATAAAACACATACAAGCGTTAGTTGGCGTCCTACACTAGCTGCGTATGGGCGTATCGTTTTTTTACGCTCTCAATGAGCGTTGTTGGCTCTCTTGTTCTATTTATACTGTAAGAGAAAGTAAAACAAAAAATTATTTTGATGGAAAAATGAAATTGTAAAAAAATGTAAGATCCTATCAAAAAAATTGCAAAAAATTACTTTTACACAATAATATTAGGGATTGTCAATCAAAATAACATATGGATAATAACATTTTGGTTTTGGCATCAAAGTACAACCGGGTCCAGGCCTGTTCATCATGAAGAAAAATCCCCTGAGCTCCCCTGCTTGCGCCACCACTGTTGCAAGGTGTACATTGTAGAGCTGGGTGTAAACATATTTGGCCAACCTACAAGCAAAATGTTCTTTGTTGTGTCACACTAAACAGGTTTGTGAGCTTTTTGGACACCAGCTCACTAGATACAGTTTATCTTGATCCACAAAAATTCAGATCTGTGTATTTAACTCAGATCTATATATTTTCAATTCGATTAAACATTATTATAGGCCTGTACTGTAGATATAGAAAACTTGGTTATGTGAAATCTCAGTGAAATCTGACCCGCTCGGGGTCAGATTTCTAAAGATAGCTAACAGAAAAGACAGTTACTTCAGGCACAGAGATATAGGCAATGAGGTCATCGTTACAAAGGTAATGATGTACCTTGAGAACCAATTTCAAGCACAACATATTTGCTACTGTACAGTGTATTTTTTATTCCCTATCAGTCAAGTGTTTTACCAAATTTATGTCATAGAAAATGTTGGATGTTCATAATTAATATATCTTGCAGAGACTGCTTTTATTTTATGTGTATAAATTGTGTGTAAAGAATGTCTGAAATATAGTGTTCTTATTCAAACAGAATGCCTGTTCAGTGCAATATCTTGTTTGTGACTCTTAAAGTTTTGTTAATAGTCTGACCTTTGTTGACCATTGACCACTGAAATAATTAACATACTGTATTTAGACCATGCTGAAGTTAATTTTATACCTCCTTGGTTGAAGTTCTGGTGTTTGACTATTAATGATTACACTTTTTTTAAAAATAAGAACACATTTTATAAGAACACTGAGGCTGAAATTGCTTAAACAATAAGAACAAATTGAGGCTGAGTTAAATTCCAAATGATTTTTTTTATTTAAAAGTCTATAAGAAAACAACACTAGTAAAGCTCTTAGTAGTCTTGACTTTACCGTACCAGTAGTTGTGACAGTCAGTAATATACTGCTGTACAATTAGAGTTTCTATATTAAATAACTTAATACAGTAAGAACATGATTATACACCTGAAATAGGCAGAAATGGAGCCTGGGAAAAATTTTACAATATAGTTATTAAAAAAAAAAAATTTTGGCTTTTCGATATTGAAATGTATTGCAAATAATAGTATACAGACCAAAACACAAACTAATACTGCACATGAGCATAAACACGAAAAACATACACACACCTGTACATGATAAATCCATAAGTGTTTATCAACTTTTTTTTTTTCAGAATTATTTGGGGACGTACTGAGTATTCGGTGCGATAACACGTCAGGTAGGGCAGAACATCCTGACGAAAACTCGCATTGAAATGTACAGTGGCGTAATGCCTATGCGCTCTCATGCAGCGGTCCGCAGGGTCCCCGAATTCTAGGGGCCCCGAAGTGGCCCTACCCTTAAGTTCCTCGATCTAGCACTTTGACCAAAAAGGACTTTGTTGATAAATAGCACCATAATGTGTCTCTGAAATCTACTGTGGGGCATATGTCATAATTATAATTATTATTATTTTATGTCTGTAAGTGCCATTTCCGGCCAACAGTACAGTTTTGGTTGATTTGATGGGATTCAAATTGATACATTGGAACGTTCCAATTATTATTGTTATCTATGAGCTCATCTTCAACGTACAATTTCTTTCAGTCTAATTTAATGAAGGGCAGTAAAAAAGAAATGCCATTAATAATAATCATAATGCCATCACTATGATCTCACCAACTTGAGATTCGTCTTTCTAACAGTAAAATATAAGAGTGTAATTTAATGCAAGCACACTTAAAATCTAAAGTTTTATGTTTTTCTTAATAATCTGAAAGGGAAGATTTGTGATCAAGATTACTTATCGGTTGAATACAAGCTTCTTTTATTATTTTATTTACAATAGAGTTGGTCCAATTTTCGATGTAATCGGAAGCGGAACCAGCGCCCCCCTCCCCTCCCCCCACACTTTGGCAAATGGAGATTTTTGTATGGTCGGAAAGAAAAAAGAAATTCGAGAAACAGAGGAAGAGGGAAAAAGGAGGAAAGGGAGCGGAAAGAGAGTGTTTATCCATTTTCCTGAACGAATTACATTTTCTCGCAATTTACATCGGCGGATCTGGGAGAATCATGGGTCCTTACCCTTAGGCAAAAAAATAAATAAATAAATAAAAATAAAAGAATATAGACCTACCTTATCAGAACCCACCGTGAGCTGAATTTTTTATGTTACCTATACAAGAAAATTAGAAGTCGGGAAAGCTCATTTCCCACCATCTAGGAATTAAAATTTTCTTGAGGAAGGACCTCTGAACCCCTTTTATTTTGGGGGTTCATCGATTCATGGAAAAAAGAATACGTACACAACATATGTATACCGGTTCACACAAATAGGCCTATTTACTGTAACAAGAATGAGAAAATTTTACCTTACCGTTTTCAAGGGGGAAAGCCTTGAATTTTGAAGAATTTTAAAGTCATTAAAAGACACTTCAGAAGTCGTGGGAAAGTTCATTCCCGCTATTTAGAAATCAACATTTTTCCGGGGAGAACCCAACCCCCTAGCTTTCTTTTTGGGGTTCATTGATTCCTGGAATTGTTTTCAAGAGGGGAAAACTTTAAATTTTGAAGAACTTAAACGGAATTAAAAGGCACCTCAGAAGTCGAAAAAGCTCATTTCCCGCCATCTAAAGGATGGAAATTTTGCTGGGGGAAGAACCCCTGCATCCATTTCTCTTTGGTGTTTATCGATTCATGAAAAAAGGAATACATATGCAACTACTCATTTTTTTCTATATGTAGGCCTATACACACATAAAACAGGCCTATTAATACTGTTATAAGAATGAAAAAGTTTACCTGACCGTTTTCCGGACCCCCTTCCTTTTTGAGGTTTTTGGGAAACATTTTGACCCCATCCCTAATTTTGAACCCAGACCTCTGATTCATATTCCCATTCATCGACGTCGAAAACACATCTTAAGGACACTACCGGCGTTCCATACGCGGGATGAAACGTTGAATCCGTCTGTGATTCAAAAAGCATCAAAACTTGATCAAAAGCATCACTGAAACATGGCTGGCAAGGAAAAAAAGAAGAAAGGAAAGAACAAGTTTGTAAGTAAAGTACTCTTTTTTGATTATCAAAATGAAGACAGCAGTTTGAATCATATTATAAGGAATACGTTGTAAAAATGTCATGTATTATTATTTCACTGCGACTCTATAGGACGCATTTTTTTGTAATAATTTTAGTGGTTGGATGGTAGGCTAGGCCTAGTTCAGTTGTTGCTATGCGATGATGGACGCTAAAAAATTATCAAAAATCAATTTATGTTTTTAATAATTATAACTCGGCCTAGGGCCTAGTCTAGGAAGCTTTTGCCTGTGCTGGCGTAAAGTAGACCTAGCCGGTAGTCTTAGG